GAGTGCACAAGTTTCTGAAAGATCAACGGGTCGGGATCAATGGCTGGCTGCAATTCCTGTAGAACAGTTACGCGATGCTCGGAAAGCGGACGCTACCCGATTCATATGCTCCTTGCATTTTGTGGAAAGTGACTACATTGACGTCGCAGGTGTCAAAAGTGGAATCCCATACCATTTAGTTCAGCGAAGTATCGTCCACAACAATTGTTTTTTGTTTTTTTTTTCAATGATAACTGTAAAAAAAGAAATGTAAACATTGCAAAATGCTTGACAAAAAAAAAAAAAAAAGGTATATCCACAGCGGGGATTGAACCCGTGCCCTCTGCGTGTAAAACGGACGTCTTTCCACTGAGTTACTGAAGGAACTTTTTCATTCGTAGTAATGAAGCTGGTCGACTGTATGTCGGAAGTTTGCTGCCAATTTTTCTTCAATACATGCACTCTCGGCTTGAAGTCGAACAGCACCACGCATAGGCCGCATTCGCACCAGGACACGTGCGTATTTAACTCAAAGTATGCATTTCGTGCTTGATGTTTGAGCGAGCGATGTCTTCAGCCACGGAGGGGACGACGACTCGGCGACGTCTTCGAGCAATCGGCTTGCTGGTCCGGCGTGTCGTGCGGGATGAATATCAGTTCTTTTGATTGGTCTAAAATTTCTCTTTCAAAGGAAGACAGAATTCGCCGGTACCGTGAATGACAGTTCTGAAGTAGAGGTCCAACGCCCGTCGTCCACTGCCATCCGCTAGTCCCATGATACGCGAAACGACGCTTGTTGAGAATTATGCAGTGAACGCACAGAATGCTTCCGGTTGTCTGTGCTACCTTTTATTTTTTTTCAATCAACGTATTTGCAGCTTTTTGAAAGCCACAAAAAATGGGTTTCATATTTTTTTCTATTTTAATATTGACTGTGCGCCTTCAATGACCCACGACTTTGATTAAATTTGGTGGTCGCGTCGAAACCTTAGAAAACAACCCGTGACCATGGAAAAGAGAGTGAGTGCGACTCAAACCGGCCAGTTCTCGATCGGCAGTTTTCAAGCGGAAGGAAACCGAATTTCGAGCCGCAAATTGTGTTCTGGGTAGTTGGGCTCTTAAATGTCATGTACAACTAAAATCCTCAGCAAGCATAAATACCCTGTCAGTGTCCCCTTCAGCAGCTGCACTTCCAGATCAAACATGATTGCTTGATGGAGAAAACAGCCTAACAAGTATTTAGCCATCGCTAAAGGCCCATAGGCACATCTGCATTTGAGCGCAGTGCGTTCCGTAGCGGCAAGCGGAGGCAAGCGTTGCGAAGAGCACTTACACCAAGCTTGTACACACAGTTACGTCGACACGCAGTCAAGTGCAGTCAAGAGCCAATAAGAATGCGCTATCGTCGCTAGCTGCTCACCAAATGGCAAGCGATATTCACAGCAACATGGCTGGACCCAACGACAGTGTCGAAGTGGTCGGTCTTGGAACAATCCTGCTGGCTCCCCCACATTCTGTCTGGCTTGAACCATCGAAGTCTTTAAAAAACCTGCTCACGCTACTCGACGATGCGTATCCAGTACTCCGTTCGCAAAACCTGCTTCGTTTTGGGAAGCGGTGGGGAATGCGCGAGCAAGTTTTTCGAAGACGTGACCCTCCTTTCCTTTCTCGGCTTCTGATTGGTCTACCGCAACACGCTCCTGCCACTGACACTTCCACAGTTGAGCCGGTCTCTACTCCCTTGCGGCGCGCTGCAAGGTGTTGCGTGACGGTGCGCGTCGTACCGCAAGCAATCGTCACCAGCCGCAAGGACACCACTCTGCACTCAAACGCATTCGAATCCAAATCTTCCCTGTTTCTAGGGGTACACGAGTAAACCATCCTTGAATGAACGTTAACACAGCTTGGCATAGTTTGCCATAAAGTTGCATTGACACTTCATAGCAGTTTAATTGTGTACATTTGGCAACCTGTATTATTCACGTTTCCAGCTCGACGCTCGCCCTCCAGCGGCGGAAACAGGAAGCGCTCTAGTGAGGGTCCCTCGATTCTCCTGCTCAGCGGGCACGGCAGAACTGCTCGCGATCATGGCTCGCAAAATGTTGTTTCCGAATGCAAACAACACTCTTCACTGTCCCAACGTAGTGCTGCAGCCAGTATGGGATTGTACCTTACTGGAGAGTTTTAGTATTGTGCATAGAAGCAAACAAAAGCACTGTGCGTTTGCATTAGAGTTGCGTGCCCCATGTTGTGCATGCGCCTCATCGCTATGCGCCATCCAAGACCGCAATTCTGGGCTCTGCGCACGCGCACTGTGGAACACGCAAAGCTAACGCAAACACACAGTGCTTGCGTTCGCTCGAATGCGCAATACTAAAACTCACTACTGTTTCACCGGCTTCCAACGCAAACGAAATGTTCTGTAGTGAGCAGACGTGCAAGCAGCTTGACGTTCCTTCGAACTGGAAAGGCTGAGATTGGCAAAACGACGGCGAGCAAATACAAAAGTAAATGAATGTTATGAAAAGATCAATAATTAAAGAAATTATATATGTTTCTTTTTTTGCTTTTGGGCATTTGGTCTGGAATGATATTGGCGGCGACTTTGGACATTTTGCCGCTTGTCAAAAGTCGCGACTTTGATAGCAAAATATACTTCACAATGTAATTTTACATAAATTTCTCACATTAGCTAAAATGTTTTTATTGATTTTAGACTTTTTATTTTATTACTAGGTAATTAAAAATGCTGCAATTGGCACCAGTGATGATAATTAGCACACTTTTGATTGTCATATTTGTTTGCGCATTTGAAATCAGATCATGAGCAACAAATTATATTAGAGCTTGAAAAATTATGTATTAAAATATCTGAATTTTATACTATTATTATTAATACAACTCGCGGCAATGTATGCCACCAATTAACGCCAAGATCACGAAAATACGCTAATTAACCATAATAGTCTTTCCAAAAAGGTATAATTTTGTTTTCTTTTTAGCATATGAAAAACTCTGACGTCGTTATCATGATAGACAAAGGGTCAAACACTGGATGCCAAACATAGTCCTATGCGTCACACTTTGCTATAAAAAAGACACAGACACACTTCAGCTGTCTGACTCGGATTTCGTCTTTGGGTTGCAACAACCCAAAGACGGAATCCGAGTGAGAACAGCGTTTATTAATTTATACGTTTTGTGGACATATTGTAAAAATTGTAATTATTCTCTTATACGTGTGCTGGGAATAATGTTACACCAATTAATCATCCAAATACACAAAAAACCATTAAAGGCTCGCTGTTCATCATTTCCCATGACAATTATGCGAGCAAGAAAAGGTAGCGAGATCGCGAAGATATCAGCACTGATTTTTTGAACAGCTACAAATATCAGCCTGGATCGAACATATATGTCACAAAATAAAGTTTCCGAGAAAAACTTCTTAAACTAACTAATTACAATGTCAGACACATCTTGAGTTATGAAAGAATCCGAAATTAAGACCTATATTGAGAAATTAATTCCAAAATAGAGGTCAGTTTCGGTTTCACTCCAGAATTAAAACACGCATCCTTGCGTAAATATTACGCTAAGCACTGTTCTTGTTTTTAGGGTAAAGAGGTGACCTGCGCTAGCTTCCTCGTATTACCCTAGCACCCTAGCTTCCTCGTATTACCAGAAATAATTTGTGTCGCTCAGTGAAGCCAGCACACTAGACAGGCTCAACAGCGGCACGCATCTCCGACCCTCACTATAATCGCCATTTTGGAAAATGAGTGGCGCCACCTATAGTTAGTTGGAGTCGCGAATACAGGGTGTCTTTTTTTTTTTTCAGGCTCTACAGATTGCTTTTGATCTTTAAATAAAACGATGAAAGCTATACAAGTGCAGTCTGTACATAATATAGGGTGTTAATTGTCATAATAAGTAATTTAAGTAACTAAAACTTGTTAACCAACTTTTTATTTAGTGGAGATTAACATATGGTTTCAATTACGAACTTGCTGATTATTGAAAATTTCTAAATCAGTAAATTCTAGAAGGACTTGGAGCGTGTGGGAAATATGGTGGTGCACTGATGTTACCACTCCTGCAAGAGGCACAAGGCTGCGGCTGCGAAAACACGCTCACGCGGTTTTGCTGTCTCTTATCAACCGCATTTTCAGACCGCCTGCTTTGCACCCATTGCACGAGTGCTAACTATACAGCACTACTACCCACATGCTCCAAATATTTCTAGAATTTACCGATTTAGTGGTTTTCGATGGTGCTCGTCAAGTTTCTAATTGGAACCACATGTTTATTTTCACAAATTAATAAGTTAACGAACAAATTTAGTTAATTATCCGACTTAATATGACGATAGTCCCCCACATTATGTCCCTTTGGCCGTATAACTTGCCTGAACAGACCGCATTGGTGTATTTTACGCAACTTTTTTTAAACAAATCTGTAAAGCCTAAAACAAAACATAACACCCTGGATAATTTGGTGCCACATACCACATTGATAGTTTTGATGGCAGCTAATCAGTGGATGGAAAGAAAATGGTAGTTTTGATGGCAGCTAATCAGTGGATGAAAGAAAGCAAAAAAAAAAACTTTCTGCCTTTCCACTGAGCCGAGGTGCCATTTGGCGGGAAAGCCCTGTAGGGCATCCGCTCTGCGTCCAGCAGATAGCAGCTCGACACCCTGTCACACGTTTCTAAAGCCCGGGTTAGTGCCAGTATCTCCATTCTAGGAATTACCATCGAGTGTACACACCACGCGTTAAGCCAGTCGCTAAAATAACCGACAAAGAGATCCGAGAGCGTAGGCACCACATGTTTCACATGCAGCATGATTGCCCAGTACTTTGCTATGCACTTTTCATGTTTTGGTAGAAGCTGGCGACTAAGCATGTCAACCAACACCGTCGTGCACCATGCACGTAATGTATGCTCCTGTCGTAAGCGGTCGCTCTCGGTCGCATTCGTATGCAAATGCGTGAACTGTGCCTTCATCTTTGTCTTGTAGGTACGGCACTTCTAAAGATATGAAAGAGAGAATGATGGAGGCAAGTAGCAGAAACTGGAGGCTGTACCAGCAGTCTAAAGACAATCACAAGTAAGGAACAAAGTTGTTTTTATTTTTTTTATTTGGCTACAGTTCTACACGAAGGCACGCATGCTCTCTTATGAGTCCGACATTTACCCATCCAGGATATACGGGACTGCAAAACAGATTGAACGGATTTTCGGAGATGGTGTTCGAGAGAACGAACCTGGCGGCGACGGCGAGGACGGATCGGAATGAATGTTTTGTTTCCTCGTTGTTGAATAAAAGTGTTTTGATGTAGTTTTTCACGCTGCAATGTGTAATGTGCGATGTAACGCGGTGTTCGCCACCCTGGTCCCGTTACTTTTGCTGCAATCCACGTCGTTGGAGGTAGCGCACATCGGAGGTGCCGCCGACAGTCCAGTCGGGAAGTCAAGTAATCAACCGAGTTCTGTGTCCTGCCACTATACTCCGTCTCGTCTTACGACAGACCGCGGAGGATGTTACGAGCCACCAAAGCCAATCATATGCTGTGGAAGTATCGCGTGACTCTCGGGAGGGGCACACCGACGTGCGGGGTGTGAAGTCACGTGATGCGGTCGCAGCAACTGGCTGGAACGGCTCGTAGTGTCCACCGCAGCCCGTTGTAAGGTGAAGCGAAGTACAGGTTTTTGTGACTGCAATGCAGTACAAGAGCTAAGCTGCCATGGCAGTCTCTTTACCCAGTGTTCTCTTCCGCATTATATTCACGAAACTCAATGAACCTTTTTCCAGTAATACTCCGCACATACGTACATCCGCTCCCCACGCCTCGCTTTCCGCATGGCCAACGTTGCAATTGGCACACATATTTCCGCGTATTGGCTCTTTATGGGGCATTGGTAGCATGGTGCATAAAAGGCAATAAATGTCGATACAGCGCGGCACAAGGCCAGTCTGTTCCGATGAACAGAGGCATATGTTAGGCTGCCTGTCGTTTGTTTGTATCGCCTCCCCAGACGGCATTCGTTACTCGAAAAAGGTCCATTAAGCTGTAATCAGCTGGTTGTGACGCCTCCAAAACAAGGTTGTCATCAAATGGTGCTACCGTAGAATACCGTGCATCCGCCCATTCTGCATTAAGCGCCCATTATCAAATTTATAGGATCTGAGAAAATACGCACAGTACATTTATATTTAGAATTGACGACCAAACAAGCACCCATACCCCATTTCTTTGCGATTATCTCCAAAGTTTGAGTGCGCGCTTGCCCGGTATTTTACGGTAATAGGGCCTGAAAATGATAGATTCCAAATAAAATGTTGGTATCCTGAGAAGCATATTTTGTAACTTTTACAGGTTTCTTCGGCACAGCAAGCATTCAAGGGCGCGTAAAAGCGTAAAGTGTGTCAGTGTTGTTTCTGCACCACTTCACCCAGGGGTCCGATTTCATTGGTACACATACCAGGGGATCCAGGTTGGTCGCTCGGCGTTGGAGACGGCGAGACCGCAGACTGCCGCGTTTGACCTTGGCACTGGCCAATCACACTGCGGCGCAGGTCAATTGCGCTGTTTGGCGATGTCGCCAACTTTAAACCCCGGTATTGGCAATGAAGTCTGCAAACTGACCATCCGACATCTACCATAGGAACGCTGTGCCATGGGGTGGATTTATAGGTCAGGCTGGGGAACGAAGCGGGGGGGGGGGGGGGGGGGGGGGTTTGGCTAGGGAGAGTGTATAAACAGATCTGACGACTCCGAGGGATGCAGCGTCAAGGATGGAACCCACATATATTTTATTGACCTAATAATTGCTATTTTATTAAGACTATACATTTCTTTCCAAAAAAAAGCTGGTGTATATAATATTTTTCATTGAAAAATCGCACTTGGGGAGGCTTGGGGGGAGGAGGGGTCGCCTCTCACCCTCCCCTTAAATCCGCCCCTGTGCTGTGCAGAAATCGACTGCCACTCTGTGATGTCATCATGTTGTCTTCCCTCTTTGGCGATTGCGGTCTTGTGTCACAACAAAATGTAGTTAAAGGGGCCATGGAACAATAATGAGCTTGAATGTTACAGACTTTAGCATGCTGATTTAAGTATGCTAGCATGCCACTGAGTCGATGTCTTTTTGTTTTTTATTGAGGTGTAATCTTGAGGATAGATGTGGACTACTTTTAGCCTCTTCTTTGCAAAGCATGCTGACCTAGAAGGAGGGATTACAATGTTAATGTGGTCGGATGTCACCTCCAGGGTGACAACAGTCGAATGTGGCCCAGGAAATGGACACGAGCACTGCTAAACTGTTTACAATCGATGCCTCAATAGACATTCAGGTTTTGACTCGTGTCTAATATCCGCGCCGCCGACAATATTGGAACTCTATAGCGAGGTCCGGAACACACTATGGTGCCCCGTGCATTGATAAGTGTTCAGTTATGAACTTCGCCAGCATTAAATGATGAGGCTGCTTGTTCTGGCTGCAAATTGTTGTGAACGCCGCTCGTTTTTCTCTCATTCTTGTTTTCCAGCTGCTGGTGCGTAAAGAGCAAAACTAATACACATTTCTAAGCAGTGATAGCGTACAGGCGAGCTGGCAATTAATCAACATTTTGTAAACCCTGAGAGGGGAACGATAAAAAAACAGATGAACACAACGTATGTTGTGGTTGTCAGGAGTTCATTCTGGACGAACGTTCAAACGGACGAACACAACGTATATTGTGGTTGTCAGGAGTTCATTCTGAGCAGTTGAAACTGATTTTGTCTTCCCTTTAATAGACCTGGATGGTTCTTTACATCCTGTGCTGTGCCTCTATAACCCTATAACCTGCGTCCATCTTGTCTTGTTTTTACTGAGCTGCTACGACTGATAACTGCGCAAGCCTTTTTGCATGTCTACTCAAGGGTCTGTTTTCGACTTGGAGCAACGTACAATAATAAATGTCTCATGAGACTTGGCAAAATCGGAGCTTTAATTGAGGAAATGTCGGTGAAAGTGTATGTGTAGGATGCCATGCGCTGACTCATGTTTCTCAGATCATGCCAAGCCACTGTTAGTGCAATAGGACATGCACGGATGCTTCATTTTCTAGGAATGGTTTCCCGCGCATGTGTAGTGACCACAGGCTAAACCAATTTCTTTGTAAATAAGAAATTTATGTATATAAATAAAGTTGTTTGTGAGAAAATAGTAACAATAGTTTTTTCCAGCAGAAGAGAATGTATGATTGATCCCGACAGGCCAGGTAAGCATTTAGCCAGAAGTGACAAAAATGTTAACAAGGTTCGGTAACTTTGTTTATTGGGTTTACTACGGTTGATCGTACGCCATTTCATTGAAACATGTTTTAGAAAATGGGCATTTTTATCGAAGCTTGGCTTAGAAAAGGTGGATTAGAGAAACGCCATTTATTGAAAAGGAACGCAGTTTAAAAAAAGGCTACCATACTTCGCACTTAGTCACTGGGCCACGTGTTAACCCGCCCGCCCCCCGCGTTTATGCCGCTTAGCAGCGGCTCATCACAAAAATGTTAACCCACCTGAACCATCCGTACACGCCGCTTTATGGCGGCCGAATTTGCTAAAAGGATGGTTATTGCCATTTTTTCTAAACTGGGCTTCGCTAAAAGGGATTCAATAAACTGGGGTCGGTAAAATGGCCTTCACTAAAACAAGCTTCTAAACCTCATGCCTCCATTGTTCATTAACCACTGGCATATGCACCAACAACAAGGGGGGGGGGGGGGCTGAGGTGGCTGGGATGTTCATGACTTATGGCACAAAGAGGAGGAAGGGGGGGGGGGGGGGGGGTCAAAATGCATGAGTATATTATAGGGTCGGCTTTATTTTGGGGGCGTGGGGGGGGGAGGAAGGAAGGGAGGGTGGCTGGCTGCAGAAGCCCCCCCTGGCTACGCCACTGACCTATCGTCATGCATTCCAAACATCTGTGGTCTTCGTCATCTATTGTTATGTATTCCAGCTATTGTAAAGGTTGTTATGATACACTTATCTGTCCAACAAAAGTCCCTTCGCTTTGCGGACCTCGAGGTAGGCTCCACGGTGGGTGGGGATGGTTAAGACGGGCCCATTGAGCTCTTGCTCCCTTGGGAAATTGAAAACCTTCCACCTGTGACCACAAGTTAACTATGAGAAGCACTATAAGATAATAGTAATAATAATAATAATACTTCATTCGTATTCCGAGAGGGTTAGGGTTGCAAAAAGGGGGGGGGGGGGGGGGGGGGGGGGGGGGGGGGGCTTGCGTGCCTAACTTGGGGTAGAGCACTGCACGGGCCCAGGTCAGGTAGCACGCATTTTCTCAAGCCCAGGCCAGGCTTGAACAAAAAAATTTTCACGCTGTGCTGGCCCGGGTTGGCTCGGGCCATGGCTGGGCAGTCGTGTGCCGCAAATTCTAAATTGTTGATAACAAAAAGTATGCCCATTGATCTTCTAGGTTCAAGGAAGCAAACAAGCGAAATGCAAAATCACTACAATGCCGTTAAATAAAAAGTCTTGCATTTGGCAAGTTTTTACATGGATAAAAGGAAACACGGATTCTACCAGCATAGTGGAAAAGTGCTGTCAAGAAAACGAGGGTACATATGAGTGTCTTTTTCCTCTGCTTTTCAAACTAAAAAACAAAAAAGAAAAAAATGTGAGCTTGACTTTGTACTTTTCTCAGGGAGCCTTTATATGCCACCAACGATAAACTAACTATAGATAATGTTATGCTTATACAGACTTTTGAAGATGTACTATCGTGATTATGATTTTCTTCACAAAAACATGTAGAGAGAAAAGTTCTCTGTGAAACGAATAAAATATTGGCCATATTCTTGAAAATACATTGTCTAACTCGGGATATTTATCGTATCAAGAAAGCTCTGTCCAAGTTTAAAGGGATACTACAACGAAATTTCGGCACTTATTTTTTGGTCTATATGTGTTCAAAGGAGCAGTATCACATAAGACACACCAATATCCCGTTGACAAAGACACGAAAAGGAATTTTAAAACAAATTAAACGATTAGCAAAGAGCACCTGGCAGTGTCGCTAATGCCTCGTTTGTAATGCCCGTCTAGGAACCTTGGCAGATAATGACGACACTTGTCTCGCCTCCAGGCTCCGGCCACAACGAGAGAAGAGGGGAAGGATTAACTCCACTCTTCCTGAAAATCCCTTTTGTGTGACCCAGAAGTGGCTATTGTCCCTCTGCAAGGTTATAGAAGATTAACCCGTCACTCAAAATTCTTACAAAAGCAGCCGCTTCGGTGGCTGGCACGACTAGGCCATCCTCTCGACGACAGCCTCGTCATAGCTTTGCTCGTCCCGAGACGAACTATGCCACGATTGCGTTGGATGTCACGCGGTCTCCGCTGGCTGTTCCGGCTGTTCTTCCAGCGCTTGCCAGAGTGGGCCAATACAGCCATTAGGCTCAAATGACAATCGTCCGATTGTCATTTGCGAATATTGTAGATCATATTCAGCCCATTTTTGAAAACGACGGGTATATTTCACAAATTTCTTTGAAGTACCTCTTTAAAGGAAATTTAAATCAAATATGCTCGCTTTTGAAACGTGTTAAAGCCTGCAAACTTTTTTCGGGCTCGCGTGTATAATCTGTCAGGCTTGTGCTCGGGTCGGGCTCAAGCTTCTGTCCAAAAATTCTGCCGAGCCCGGGTAGGACCAGGGCAGTTTCTCATCCGGGCCGGGCCAGGCCGGGCCGGGTCGGGCCGGGTCGGGCCGGACCTAGAAATTAAATATTCTTTCGGGCTGTGCCTTTACCGGGCCTCTGCCGGGCCGGGTTGGGCCGCGCCTTCTGCAAATGCGTCGATTTCTTACCGGAAACCGTTATCGTAGAGCAAAAATTCTCTAGCAAAGCCCGTTGGAAAGATGCTGAATATTATATGTAACAGCAGATAGCAAACTTATAGAGAAAGAAAAAAAAAAAAAGTAAAAGCCTACCCTCGGCGGGACTCGAACCCGCAATCCCCGGTTTAGGAGACCGATGCCTTATCCGTTAGGCCACGAGGGCGACAAGAGTCTGGGTCACGGTATGACTAACTTGAAAATGTGGTATATTCTTTTTGATAATTTCATTTATTTTCTGAAATATATATATTTACGTCTACAGTGAAACGCATGCATGACCAAGACTGAATAATTCAGCGCAGCTGATAAGAGCAGCAAAGTTTGTTATGGTTGGTGTCAGTGTAGTCGTAAACAAATCCAACGACATTGAGTGAAAACTCGAGGTAGCCTAAAGGGGCCAAAGCAATCCAGTCCATTCGAAAAACAGGCGGTGGCGGGTGGCGGTTAAAACTTTCTTACGAACACAGGCGTTACCCACATCCGTTCCTTGGAGAAGAAACGCGCTCACACGGGATAGCAGCAGGCGAGTACTTCTAAGCGTGCTGCAGCCAAAGGAATCGACATGCCAAAGCCGGACCTTATGTTAATTGACTGGGGCATCAAGCCCTCCGGAGTGTCCACCATGAAAATTGAAGCTCGCGCTTGGGACGGCACAACCAGAGGCAAGTTTTTCGTGACCGCGGACGTTAAGCGACGCATCGACGCCACCCACATACAGTGCGTCGACGGCTTGGCGTACGAGCTCGTCGGGGACTTCGACTACGACGGCGGCGCAAAGCACGGGCTACCGACCAGGATTCTGGACAGCTTCGCGGAAGGCATCCCCGAAGAATGGGTTCAAGTGATCACGGGTTGGTCAGAAGCTCTGTTCTGCGCCACCAGCAAGAAAATCAACACCAACGTCCGTTCCTCGGACGAAAATCGCTCTCACATGGCAGAGCAGCAGGCGAGTACCTCTAAGCGTGCTGCAGCCAAAGGAATCGACATGCCAGAGCCGGACCGTATGTTAATTGACTGGGGCATCAAGCCCTCCGGTGTGTCCACCATGAAAATTGAAGCTCGCGCTTGGGACGGCACAACCAGAGGCAAGTTTTTCGTGACCGCGGACGTTAAGCGACGCATCGACGCCACCCACATACAGTGCGTCGACGGCTTGGCGTACGAGCTCGTCGGTGACTTCGACTACGACGGCGGCGCAAAGCACGGGCTACCGACCAGGATTCTGGACAGCTTCGCGGAAGGCATCCCCGAAGAATGGGTTCAAGTCATCCCGGGTTGGTCAGAAGCTGTGTTCTGTGCCACCAGCAAGAAAATCAACACCAACGTCCGTTCCTCTAACGAAAAGCGCTGTCACATGGCAGAGCAGCAGGCGAGTACCTCGAAGCGTGCTGCAGCCAGGGAAATGGACATGCCAAAGCCAGACCGTATGTTGATTGATTGGGGCATCAAGCCCTCCGGTGTGTCCACCATGCAAATCGAAGCTTACGACTGGAACGGGACATCAAGAGGTAACTTTCTCCGAACCTCTGATGTACAGTTACGAATCAGCAGCACACGTGTCCAATGTGTCGACAGCCGCGTTTACGAGCTTGTTGGAAAGTTTGACCACTCGGTGGGGTACGATGGTGGCATTCCGACCAGGATCCTCAACCAGTTCATGTGCGGCGTGCCCAGAGAATGGGTACGGGTCATCACGGGTTGGTCGGAGGACGAGTATTGCGAAGACAAAAGATGCTCTAGTGGCTCGGAAGAGAACAACGAACCTGAAGCTACAACATTACATCATTCCGCAACGACTAGTTGGTGTGCTGGTGCAGACAGCAATGGTGTAGAACAACTTCACAGTTCGACAATAAAGCTGATCGAGGCTGGTCATGGGAAAGGCAAAGGAGAACCCGCACTCAGTGACAGCGGGGCCAAGTCGCCCAAGTCACGAACCAGCACAGGCAGGGCCGAAAAATGGCTAAAAGGGAAGCTCGAAACAGACTCTGCGACTGTAGAAGGGCAAGAACAATCAATTAATACACCGGTTCAAAGGAGCAGGCAACTGCAGAAAGCTATTCCACACCAAGGCAATAAAACATTGCATCTAGAAGCAGTACATGTCTCGTTTCAAGATGATGATCGAAGTCAGTCCTCTTTTCAAAAGAACGGCCATTCTCAACAAGCTCCACCAGTCACTGATGTTCAGCCTTCGCTGCAACGACCAGGAGACGCAGAGAAAGCTAAAGAATACAAAGTGCCGAGCGAAGGAAGGACGCATCCTTTAAATACCCGACAAGCAGACAAGATCAGAACTCTATCTCGACAGATCAGCAATCTTCCAAGTGCTCAAAAAGGTGACAGAAATCCTCCGCCACGTCGAGAAGGTTTGCGTCCTCGGAAGCATGATAAATGGAACCCGGTTCACATTTTTCCGGAAGCTGGGCATCCAAAGCAAGAGAAGCAACACGGAAGACAAAGGGTTTCGTCTCAAACGGACATTCCTCAGCAGGATGCACAACATCCCAAGGAGAATGAACCGCTTCAGAAAGCCATGAGTCTAGACAGCATAGAAACCTCTCCTCTACAAGCTGCATGTCTCCGAACTTCCGAAGGAGATGCCCAAAGTCAATCTCATCTTCGAGAGCAAACCATTCTCCTGCCGATCACTAACATTCGGCCTTCGTTGCACAGTCCAGAGGATGCCAAACAAGCCAAGGAACAGAGAACACTGGGCCATGAAAACATGCGTCCTCAGAACACGGAACCACAAGCAAACCAGGTCGGAGCTTTGTCTGGACGGGATGCCAGACCCAAGAGGGCCCAGCAAAAGAAGCAAAATCACCCACCGCGTCGAGAGGGCTTGCGTCCCCGGAAGGGTGATAAAAATAACCCGAATCCAGAGTCTAGGAAAAGTGGACATCCTCAACAAGAGGAGCAAGACTGCGGACAAGAGGCCTCATCTCAAAAGAGTGTCCCTCCACGGAATGCACGACCGCCCGTGGAGAGCGTACCACTCCCTCAGCAAGAACCAAATGAAGAGCTGATGCATGCACATCTGGCAGAAGGAAATGAGAGGCAAGTCTCCAAGGGCCAGTGCACCAACCCGACTGTTGGCAGCGTGAAGGCACACCATAGCGAAATCCCGGTAAATCCGTGGAACCCCTTACGGGTTCCCGTCGTGGTGTTGAAAAGATTGGATCCTGCATGCTTGCAGGCGTATTGTAAGCCCTTAGACAAGGTGTTTTCTGTTGGCATTTCTTCGATTTCTCCTTGTATGGATGGCGACAACAGCGCAGGTGTGGAGAAGAAGGCTAGCTCCAAGGGGACTCCAAAGAATGCCGGGAGCCGAGGCGAGAGAACTGCTAGAGGGAGATCCGTGGCCTCTGACGCAGGGCACAGAAAGGAATCGGACTGCACAAAAGGCCATCCTGCCCAACCCAAGAAACGGGGCAGACCCAAGAAACAGGGCAGGAGCAGGACCGAGGTGTCTACCACTGGAGACGAGGTGGGAGCAACCTGTTCAGGTCCAACAAACAGCAAGGCAGACAAGCGGAAACGAAGGAGACCACGGAAAAATGCCGACTCGCAGCAAAAGGAAAACGCCACACCAACTGTCGCGATCACTGCAAGAAAAGGAACCTTGAAGCGACGCCTCCAGGTCCGGAAAGCAAACGAGGCGATCGCCGCCGCCGCCGTTACCGCTGCTGCCTCGGACGACATCTTTGGGTCCTCTGCTCTGACAATGAGCGGGGCCATACCGCCGTTGTTGTTCCTTAAAAACAGCGCTGAAGAATGGGAGGATGCGGTGTGGGCGGCCGCTGACACCCCACACCTGGCTTCCTCCCTCAACAGCAGTCAAGGTCAGGTCAGCGGCTGCTCAAGCGTTAGCAGCATGCCATCGTCCCCGGATTTGGCTACATCAGACAAAATCCTGCACTGTCTGAAGAAGTCGATGAAGGCAGACGGAAAGAAGAGTTGTTGTTCTACTGCCACGCCGAAGGGAGTGGCAAGGAGGGGACCGGTTGGTGCGAAGAGGCTCCTGAAAGAGCTCCAATTGCTGGAAGGTCAGCTGCAGAAGAAGGAAGAAAAGGAGACCCGCCAGCTGCAGTCTGACGAGGAGCAGGACTACTACAGCAGCGACAATTCTTCCTCAGACCTTGTGTCCGGCATCTGAGACACTTCCAACAATGCGGCTCACTCGAGGACTAATGTATTTATCCTTCTTTCGATTTTAAGCTTTAATAAACGAGTTTAAACACAATCTTCGTCTGGTTGCCTCTTTTGGCGGAAGTAGCTTGTCTGCGAAAGCAGTGCTGTGGTGATTCAGGTAGAACATGTGTCTGAATGGGTGCGCCGTGAGCCCTCACTTTTGTTCATAATGTTCCAAGACTGACGAACTTGATCACTGGGGCTCCTGGGAGTAAAATGAGTCGTGTAGTGTTCCTTCGCTATTGCCGCCGTGTTTGTCGCGTAGAGACGTTTCACAAGGGCTACAGTGTCTTGGTACTTTACTTGGTTGTACGAGCTTCTGCACGTTGGCTACCTGGGACTTTCGGCTGTATGAACGTTGAGTCAATGAGTACTTGGAACTTAATGGGAAAGAATGCTAATGCATCAACAGGTTCTGGTTTGAAAATGCATATCTACTATGTGCTCAAGCAAACGTGAGCACTCTTACCAAGCTGCAATGACTCCGATTAAGCTTCTAAAGTTCTTTTCGTGCCTATTCCCCCCATGTCCACTCTTTTGAAAAAGCTTCTTCCTTCTTTCTAATAAATGTAGATTGTTTCATCCTGGCAATCCTCAAACCCAGTTTTGCCATGTGGTATCAGTTATTTTTAAAATGGTGGATTGTGAATTAATTGCATTATTTTCTGAAATTAATGCAGTAGAAACATATCTAGTGTTTGGACAAGCTGTTGAATTAGTTTGGGCATATGTGGACGTATCGGACGTGCCTCGAGCTTTGGTTGCCGGTGATTTGATGGTGACTCACTTGCACCAGGAATTTGATCAAGGAAATTGAGCGAATGAAGATTGAGGAAGGAGTTTATTTTACCTTTGCTTATTTTCAACAGCGTATCATCGGTCTGCATTCCAGGATATTGCGGCCATCCGGCTGTTTATTAAACTATAGGGTGTCTGAAATGCTGAGGCTCAATCTAAAATGGGCCATAAAAACTGGCGCCTACACGTAGCAATGAAAACTTTTCGTTAAAGGTGTATTTCAAAGGTGGGTTTTACCTTGTAAAATTACTAAGCACAACTCTCTTTCTGTACAAAATAGGGTCAAAACACTTGCCAGGGTCAATGGCAACGCAGACGACCGAGTCGAGTGGCGGGGTGTGTTTGGTGCACTTATTGATAGATGGCGCTACCGTCTTGTTCCAGCTTGCTTTTAAAAAATATTGAGATCGCCCACAACGACCGTGGTTTATTGAAATGAACATAATCTTTTTGTAATGTACCTTTGGTTTAAAGATAAATGTGGAGCTTGAAGTAACAAAAACGCGGTTGCATAACTGTGGCATCCTTGCCGACAGATCTCATCTGCGTGTCATGTGCTTTCTTTCACTGGTCCGCTACACCCAACGCTGCTTCCGGCGCTGCTCCCGACGCCATTTATCAATACGTGTGCCAAACGTGTCCCGCCACTAGACTCTATCGCCTGCGTCACTGTTTGCCTTTGAATCTGGCAAGTTTTTTGGTCATATTTTTTACAGAAAAGAAAAGCTACACCTTCTAATTTTACAAGATGGAGCCCACCTGTGAAATATGCCTTTAAGAAAAGTTCAAATTGTTACATGTAGGTACCAATTTTTACGGCCCATTTTAGTCGAGCCTCAGCATTTCAATCACCCCGTATACGCTGGCACTAACACTGGTGTTGTTTGTGACAACGTGCAAATCACAGCATCAAATTGGACAGGACGTCAGACACCTGGGAAAACAAGTTCTCGATCCTCGTGTCACTAAACGTTAGCACTTCGACAGCCACCCTTTTATTAGATGGGAAATATACAGACGTAATTCACCATCGAACCACCAGCAACAAAAACACAAGGTTTGTCGGAGGCTCGAGCGTTCTAATGCACCGAGATCCAAAGAAATGATGAGATTCAGGTTAAAAATACCTATACAAACACTATAGTCCGTTGCAACTCAAGAAGGTAGGGTGAGGGAAAGGAAGGTCGGCGAGGAGGAAGCAGATGGAATGCTGGAGAACGGAGGTTTCCCTTCTCCTCTCCAGTGTTCTGTCTGCTTCCTCCTCTCTGGCATTCCTTTCTCTCGCTCTACCTTCTTGAGTTGCAACGGACTATAGATACGTATATTCTACACAGAAAACAGTCAGCAATCAAGAGAATGTTAAAGGGACACTGAGAGGTTATTTACGCTCACCAAGGTTTTTATTCGTACATCACATATGAGAGCCCAACTACCCAGAACACAATTTGCGGCTCGAAATTCGTTTTCTTTCCGTCCAAAAACTGGCGATCGAGAACTGGCCGGTTTGAGTCGCACTTAACTCTCTTCTCCGTGGTTATGTGCCGTTTTTTATGGTTTAGACACAACCACCAAATATAATCAAAGTTGTGGGGCACCGAAAGCACAGACTCCATGTTAAAAATAGAAAAGAAATATGATACCTATTTCTTGCGGCTTCTAAAAACCGCAAATATGTTGACTGAAGAAAAAAAAAAGTAGCATAGCCACGTGACTTCCGCCAACTCTCTCCTTCTCTGTATTTCTTCTTCCTCCCCAGTCCAGTTTCGGTTTCATGCAGTTACATATTTTACTTTATTAAAAATATGTGTGACGCTTTAATAAAATATTGTTTGGGTAGTATTCTAACACCGTAATGCATCCCCGGGCAAAAAAATTTCACAAAACCATATTCTGGAAGAGCTGTCCGCACAAGGAAAGAACATCGAGCACATTTGGCAAAGCGGGCGGGTTTACCACGGTCAATTGATCGAACGCCATTTCATCAAAAGATGTTCTAGAGAATGGCATGTTTTATTAGAGCTCGCTTCAAAAAAAGCGGAGCCTCAGTTTAGAGAAAAGGTGTTTATTGAAAAGGGGATGCTGCTTAAAAAAATGTGCAAGTACCACTGGGGCACGTGTTAACCCAGCCGACCCCTGCCCCCCCCCCCCCCTTTTATGCTGCATCGTGGCTACAGTTTGCGGTGGCTTATTACAAAAATATTAACTGCAGCCGAATTCGCCAAAAGGAGGCTCATCGCCATTTTCTCATAACTTAACTTCGCTATGATGTGATTTGATGCACTAGGGTCAGTAAAACGGCGTTTGCTAAAACAATTAAGCTTCTCTAAACCGTATGCCTCCAAGAGCGGGTAGCAAACCAAACAAAACAAAGGGGACCAAACCAAAAATCAATCTGGAGAGCAAGTTGTCTGCTTCTTGCGCAGGAGTTGCGGTGACATCAGAATGACTCCGAGCACTGACTGGCTTTGATTGAAAGGCTAGTGGGTAGACCTCAAGGCATCTAGCTTTGAGGTCTAGCCCCTTTTTTTTCAATCAGCCAATAAGAGCTCGGCGTTTTGACATCATCGCAACCCCTGTGCAAAGTGCAGACGAACTTGCGCTCCACATTCCTCGTGGACGTCGCCAAAACGAGAAAGAAAATGGCGAAAATGGCTGCATTCACTCCAGAAGTGACGTAGCGCGTGAATGGAGCCACATTAATAGATTAGGTCAGTTCTGAAACTCCGGTGGTGGGGGGTACCCCCTTCGCCTGCTACGGAGGTGGCGGACGTGAGGAGCTTGCCCTCTGCAATGGCAGCATATATTCGCCTCCCATCATTTAAAGTGTCGTCTAGGTGGTCGTTACAAAACTGTGCATTCCATAGAGTACAGTGAAACGCTATCTAGACGCTGTGCTTTAAAACATATGCATTTTATAGAATACACTGCAGTTATCATAGCAGCCAGCCTCAAACCAGTATTGCATCGAACGATGGGAAGCGTGCCGTGGGGTTTAAGGGGGAGGGATTGGGGGTAATGCTTGTGCAAGCTGGCCTGTTTATGGTCCGTTCCGTAACTGAGCTAATCTACCTAGTAATGCTGGATGGAGCCGTTCCTCTTCCCGATTTGGCGCTACGTCCACGCACGCGGATGTGGACACTCCCAATTAAATTCCCTTTCCGAAAATGCTGTGGATGCGCCCTTAGCATCGCTCATCTGGACCTTTCAGCTGTTTTAAACGGCTTACGAAGTACAGGAGGATGCATTAAAAACTGACCGCAACCGTGACCTTTCTGTACCGGCGCCAAGAAGGATAGAAGGGTAGGAGGGAGCTGCGTAGCCTCCACAAGCCATGCTCCCTTGACGCCTCGCCTCTTTCTCATTTTCCTCCTTACTCTCCTCACTTATCAGGCCAACGTGACCACATCACGTGACCGTAGCTAGCCTTCGTCTAGCTGTGGGGTACTATAGACCATTCCATTTAGCGCTCTCTGGGCGGCACCATTTTGTTAGACCGCAGCGCCCTCTCCACACATCCGGGAAGTTCAGCGGGTTCGGCGGGGTAAAAGGAGAGAGAGGGCACGCCGCCGACTCCGCTAGCAGACGACAAACCGGGAGGTTGCCATTCTCCATCTTTGGGCTGTATTGGCGGGCTCCACCGAACACCGAACTCTCGCTCGTGGCTGCCGTTGTGAAGTGGTTCGCGTTCTTAGAATAGTTGTGGCTACTCCAAAATCAGCCTATAGCTCTCGGATGTTCTATTTTGCTAAATGATAAACTAGCATATCTTTTTTCCGTTACTTAAATAGCAGTTGAGTCAGCCGGCAGTACTACCCTCAACTACTGCGTGTATTGCGGCAGGAGAGCCCGTTTTTATTTATTATTTCAGACTTCCACTCATGGTCGCTAAAGGCCTACACCAGTACGAACTTTTGTATAGTAAAAAAGGTACAGCAACCGGATTTTCTTTTCGCCAAAGAGACCGGCCAATCTGACACAGTTTTCCCTATTTTTGTTTTTTTTTATTTTGCGCGCTGGTAATAGTGCAATTGGACCCTGTGAGTCTTTTTATCTAGCATAGTATTACACGATAACTGGCATACCAAAATCTGCGCATCTGCGCTTGAAAGTTCCAAAATGACGCGATTGTAAACAGAGTTTGCACGCCAGCCGGACGCTAGCTACAGCCCACTCGGCGGAGCGGACGGCTTGCGGGGGAGAGGTATAGTGCATTTTTTTTCTCTTTTACACTCTCTGCTATGACCCTAATGGAACGGTCTATACTCCGCGACAACTTTTCTTGGCAATGCAGTGGAAGGTACAGGCCCGCGTCCCCTCTCCCAATTTGAGTGTATGCAGGCTCTCCTCCTCCCCCATTTCCGGGGAGAGGAGGAGAGCCCGCGCACACTCAAAATGGGAGAGGGGACGCGGGCCTGTATCTTCCACTGCATTGCCAAGAAAAGTTGTCGCGGAGTATAGAATACACCACAGTCTAGCCTTTGATCTGATAAAACCTACCGGATGGAGCGCGCGCAAGCGGCGCAAGCCTGCAAGGAGTCCTTCTACAATCAACCATCCATCTCACACGTGACATGTCACGTGTGTCACATATTGCAACGTGCCCCCTCCTAGCGCTCAACTGGATCAACGGCAGCGGCTCAACTTTGGCGGGTTTTGAATGTGATGTTGGCAACTACAAAAAGCGGCTGCTTGCAGCTTTTGCAGCTCGTCGCGCAGGGAGATTAGTCAGACGAAGTCCTCGGCAAGTATTGACAAGGTCAAAATCGATCGAGCCGCAGACCCTGCGGATATCACTTTGCTCGGATAGAGCTTCATTAGCAGAAAGCAGATAGCTGTTGATAACAGCTGCCGACCCGCTTCACAATCGACGATGGCGTTCTCTCTCGCTGGTAGTTTAGGCCTAGCGACGACATCGGCTCTCCTCCGACGCACTTCTGCGGCGATCCGCTGCCTCGCCACAAGCACGGAAAACATCGCAGACCTCGTCAAGGGCGACAAGGTGGTCGTATTTATGAAGGGGGTGCCCGAGAGTCCTCGTTGCGGCTTCAGCAACGCCGTCGTCCAAGTGCTTCGGATGCACGGCGTTCAGTACAAGGCGCACGACGTTATGGAAGACGAAAATCTACGACAAGGCATCAAGGCTTATAGCAACTGGCCGACGATCCCACAGGTCTATATCGACGGACAGTTCGTGGGCGGCTGCGACATTCTGCTACAGATGCATCAGAACGGCGAACTGATCGACGAACTGGCTAAAGTCGGCATCAAGTCGCTTCTCGTCGACGCAGCGCCGGCCAGCGAGCAAGAAACGACGAAGAAGTAGCCACGACTGGCCACGACTGCGACCGCCTTTTCTAATCCGGGGTCTTCGCTTGTGCGGTGGTAAATTAGCTGCCCAGGACACGCCAACGACCTCGCCTCTGCTGGCACTCCTTGCCGACGCTGCTCGCCTGCTACGGAGGTGGCGGACGTGAGGAGCTTGCTCTCTGCAATGGCAGCGCCCATAGGAGGAGCCTGTCGCGTTGTTTTCATCATGGCGGCGCCCGTGTGTGGCTTTGTGTAAATAGCGTGCGAACTTTACCGTGAACTTCGCTCTGTAGTTCACCTCTAGTGCCACCTCTTGAAAGTATGGTTTTGGAATATTGTGGGGGAAGTCAATGTTTCAGTTAATCAGTCTCTTTTTTTTATAGTTTTGGAGTTGTGTAGAAGAATAAAAATTCGCGACTTGTATCCCCACCCCTATGTGTGGCTCACTTGTTGTCAGGGTTGTATGCATTTTTTGTTGAATGTGGGACAAAATTGTTGATTGTTGCAGGGTAGTAAGGCGGATTATAAATCAATTCATCGATGAATTGAATGACCAGATCGTTAACTGATGTTCTAGCCAACTATGTGATGACTTCTTAACTTAGTTAAGATGTGATTACACCAAAAAGATCCTAAATCACTTTGCCTGTACTGTTATATTCTCTATGGTTAATTCTGCTATGTTGATGATGTTAACAGCCAACATTCTTAGATCCATTAGTTGACAAGCTCTACGGAAGGGCGTTACACAAAAACAGTCTTCCTTCCTGACCTGCACATGAGTGGGTACAGGCGGATAGCGATGCTAGTGGCACCACTCCCACGGGCGACGGAGGGACTCCTCTGGAACGGCGCTCTTTTTGCAAACTATGTTCGCCATAACAACCACGAAGGAATCTCTTTCCACCACAGGCATTATGCATCCAACGTTCCACGAAAAGGTGCCAGGTGTTTAGGAAGCTTGAAAATCGACCTTGATCTAATATGGTTCATAGCAGCTGTCTTTGATCTCATAATTCAACCATTCACTCTGACTGGTATTATTAGCGAAGCAAAGTGGAGAGCAATTCCGTTTTTAAGCATTTAGTATTGCGGCACATATGCATATTCAAGCCGAGGTTGCTACTTTTAGCTCTCCCCACCTCATTATGTTGTTTACGATGTAGCTTATGCATGCCACGTCGGTAGCTAAATGGAATATGCTGGGACTAGAATGAATGCGAGGAGTCTAATGCACGAAATTCTGGAGTTAGGTTGGAGGCAGGCGCCAAAAGCTAGACTTGCAGTACAGTGTGGTCAACTGGCTCTTATCAGCAAAAATGTAGCAAGTCTACTTGTCTCACTGGGAGACTATTGAGTCCACAAAATATTCTAAGACTCTTATATATAGATCTTAATACTTAAATTTTTTGCAGCGAAATTTTGCTTTTGTATTTGCATAAGCTTTTTACTGCAAGTCTATTTTTAGTTGTCTATTAATGGGCGACATGAGATAATAGAAGCAATAACCACTTCTTATAGATCTTTTAATAGTCCCTTTTACTACTCTTAAACTTTTCAGTTGTTTTTTTTTTTTTTTTTTTATCCGTAAAAGCTAGATTAATGCAGCCTGTGCAAATTTGTTGTACAGCCAGGTGGATGTAAAACAGTGGGCTAACCATCACGATCAGTCGGTTAATTAAATACACATTGTTAATTAATGAAGTAATTAGTGCAGATGAACATATGCTTCCAATTCTAAACTTTTTTTAATAGACAAAGACATGTCAAGCGCCCTCCCCTGACCTCTGGTGCCCACCTGGCTAACCAAGGTGCAACCTCGCGCATCTGTCGCTTCTCCGACCACACCGGTGCAAGGCGGAGAAGTTCGACGCGCGCGCGCCGGTGTAAAGTGGTGAAGCCCACCCTTTCACTTCCCCCTTCGACATTCCCAGTTCTTTTTTTTTTTTTTTTCGTGTTTTTCTTTAAATTTTTTGGGGCTGTTTTTACGTCAGTTCACAAAAAACAAAAATACACCAAAAATAGAACACAGCTTAGTCAGAATACATCACTACTGAACACATGAACAATATTGTTAAACGATGTGAGGTCATCTTGAAAAACGTGTGTTTCAGAGTGATGTCAAAACGTTCTAAAGCCAATCAATGTACTTAGTGTACAATGTAGTAAAATCCAATCAAGCAGCTGCAGAATTGCATCGCAATGACGTTCGCCGTCATTGTGCGTTTGTCATCGCCTGCTAAAGCAATCGCAGCGAATGCGCCGTGAGCCCGCATCCAGGTGCTGCGAAAACGCCTATCAGAAGTATCACGAATTGATGCAGGAGGTCATAGCTAAGCAGTCATAATACCCATGCAGACATTTTAAAAAGAAGTGTCATACTGCGTTTAGTTTTTAGCTTGGCCAGGCCAAAGTGGATCAGTGCATTTTTATACTGAAAAGGATTGAATATGGTTTGTGTCGTGTCTCTTTTGTGCATGCCCAAATGTTGCCGCTTGATTTTCCTTATTCAAGTTGTCTTGGTCACTGATGGCAAGCATTGTACAACCCCAGTTACCGCTGCAGGGACGTTCCAGACTGAAGGTTGAGCGAGAGAAGGCTCCTGTACGAGGCAAACAGACAAAATGGATCACGGAACGGAGGCCAGTGACGAATCCGATGCCCGACCGACACCGACGAACATGACAACGGGGCGGTACAAACATGACAATTCAAGTTCAATTTCTCGTTCATCATGACATCAAGAACGCGCACGAACGAGAGCATTCATTCCCCTGTACAGTGTTTTCCTTTAAACTGATATGCATTACCCCAGGGGCAGTGTTGGGAAGTGCTTTAAGTACATTGTACGTAGAGCACTACTTAAAGTAGGCAAAGAAAACTTGTACTTTACTTGAAGTACATTCTCCGAATATGTACTTGTACTTTGAGTTTTTTTGTTTTTTTTCTCGGTACTTTTTGAGGAAAGTACAACTTCCAAGTTCAAAACACAATCCACAAATTTGAAAAAGAAAAACAAAAATACGTTATGTAATGACAGGCTATTGTCATAGTAGGGTGAAGACTTGGGTGAGTTGGTTTTGCATATTGACGATTAAAAAGGGGCGGAGGCGTAACGTCCCGATGGTGTTTTCAGCCTTATCGAAGTTGGGGAGGCTATATGCAAGAGTACATCGCGGTGAACAGAGGGGTCATGCATGTACGAAGAAACACAGAAAACAGTGTAAGGGGGGGGGGGGGGGGGGGGGGGGTGTCATTTATCACATACCCCTTCCATGTAACAGCGTGTACATCGTCCAGACTCGCCGATGTATAAAAGACAGGCTAAGAGAACACGCGCTCGATGAGGTCATTGCCCTCGCGCAGTCTCGCCATCCTTTTTGAGAGGTGTGGTTGTAAACCGAGGTTAGCAGGCACAGTCATCCTCGGGGGGGGGGGAGTTCACATTGTCACGCACGTATCATCTTTCATCCCTGGTTCAATCAAAATCACTTCAAACTAAAAAAACAAAAAAATGACGAAACGCATTACGCCATGTTTAGGGTGCCTTCATGTGCGCTTTGCTTAGTGTGGAGACATCTGGCCATTTTGTCTCAAACTTTTATTTTTAGTTCAGAAGCGCTTGGAAGAGCGTGTCCCAGCACGCGTTTGTGGCGCTGACTATGCTATGGCGACATTTTGTTTTCGTCGACTTCTTTGTATTTTACCCGTAAGCGCGTGCTGTCGGCATCGGGTACTACAAAGGGTGGCATCGCCCAACACAGAAGGACATTGAGGCACCCTAGCCATGTCTGCGCCGCCATTGCCGAACGACTGAAAAACTGAGATGTCAGGCGGCCGGGACTGGCCGGGCTCATAGCATCACGTCATAGGAAGAGCGAAGGGGTTCTTAAAGTTTAGGTGGTGTTGGTCTTGGACGCTAGGTGGTGTTCAGCCGGCCAAGGCCCCTTCCGCGTTGAGTGACAACTGCCCGAGTAAGTTCTGATGCTTTTGCCGGACAACTCATCGGCATCGTTGGCCAGCGATGACTTACCGAGCTTGGTCCAATGTCGGACTTGCTGCTTGGGAAATTCTTCACTTGATGCTTGGATAATTTCATCATTTGGCAGATTTGGACGTTTAGGCAGAGAACGCGAATACCTTTATATACACTTTCCACGGGGCCGGATTAAGATACGGGCTAAGGGGGCTGCAGCCCCGGGAAACACGATTAATTTGCTAATAGCAAATTAATCGTGTTTAATTTACCACAGCTCAGACCAAGAGCAGAAGGATCACTAAGAAGTGCCTCTGGCGTTGAGGCCTCGTTCCCTTCCTTTTTCCTTTTCCCTGTAGTGAGGTGGGGATACTATAAGGGTCCCGTCTTTAGACAAGCTGGTGTTTGTGAGCTCGTTGTACAAGAGCGTGCCAGATTAACAATACGCAAGATGGACTCCCATGCCCCTTGTCGGAGGGTGAAGCTGTCGACGCTGGCGGTCGCCTTGAAGTCTTCTCATGTAAACTGAACAAAAAAAAAAAAAAGAAGAAAAAGAAACGGGACTAGAGTTCTCTTTTTTTTTTTTCTTCTTTTTTTGAACTGTTTTTGGTCTGTTTACGGACAAGCAAGTGTTGTCAAAGACTACTCGAGCAATACGCGTGGTACACAGATTTTTTTGCTACCTTTTAGCGAAGTTACAGCCGCTATCTAAATTACCGCATTTAGAAGGAACAAGATTACTAGTAAAACTGATCGAAACATTTTCCCTATTTTCCCCCTTCAAAGAGACAGCGTGTAGGTACAAGAATTCTAAATATTTCCTGAATTTTTATGAGAAATTCTTTGAATGAGTGCTAGTGGCTTAATCCCCCCCCCCCCCCCCCCAAAAAAAAAAAAAAAAAAAAAAAGAAGAAAGCTGTTTTAGTTATTGAACTCTTTTTTTTTTTTTTCTGCCTGTGTTGCTTCCCTTACTGTTCACGTCAGTAGTTAATTGACAAAGGGCTAGTCAGACAACTTTCAAGCATTCGGAACAATGACGGGAATCAGAGCTTTAGATTTTTCGTGGCAGTTGTCGAAGTGCAAAACAAGCCATAAAGGCGAAGCGATATTTTGTTTTCTTAATTTTAATGGGAATGTTGAAGTTCTCCTTTCGGTTGCTGCCTAATTCACTTCATATCTGAGTAATTGTGACACTCTACATGTTAGCAAGAAGGTCACCTGTACTGCAAGTCGACGTTATGATAAATTTGTGTCAGCTGGCCCAGACCCTACAAATCGAGTAGAAGTTTTAATAAAAAAATTGAACGGGGTCACCATCCTTAACGGAAGTTCTTTAGTTTGATTTATGAAGGTGCTGAATGTGATCGACACAACTAAATATTTTCCTCCATATTTAACTGGTTTGAGTTTTGTACGTCTAAATTGCTCTATGATGTGCTAGATCGGTTGACGT